ATTTAATTTAATAAAGATTTATTGATAAATTTATATATAGAAGATATATTTTTAACAAAATATAACAACAGCTTATGATACCTTAGTAACTACGTCCTCAGCCTTTGGCTTTTAACTTTTTTTAATCTGAATTGGTGTCGCGAGAAAAATTAACTGACATAATGAGCTCACGTTACCTCTTTCATACATTTAATAGAGTAAGGTGTGTCTAGAGAAAAATTTCAACTTCTAAAAAAACCCTAAGTCTTTCAGGGGTTGCTTAGGTCGGAGAAGGGGGGGGGGAGGAAATGAATAAATAATGAAAGTTGGCTAAATCGATTAAATGGACTTCCGGTAAAATCATGAGAACAAATGCATTTATTGCGATGCATAAAATTATTGCAAACTATTGTTAAAAATTAATCTTAAAATTGTCCGGTAACCCAGACTGAAATGCAACCCCTGATACTCAACTACAACTGTTGGAGATTTCAAAAAAAAATCCAAAGTACTTGAATATCCTTAAATAGTGTAGAGAGTGTCAAATGCAGGGTTTGATTCCCGTGTGGGTGAGGAATACTGGGAACTTTTGCAGCCCGATTGTATTCTTCGTATCCCCGTTTTCAATGAGCAACGCCTGATCAAACACTCGGCAGTGGTGCACAGCTTTACTTGCCGGAGAAATTTCTCAACAAAAGTTGTAGGAAAGGGGAAGGTCTTGGTTGAACGGATTTGTTGTGCGAAGAAGAACAAATATGTTCTGAATTATCTCTATTACTGAAAATATTCCGAAGGCTATTGTTTTTTTTGGCTATTGAAATATCAAATCCCGTGATTCTTTGATAATTTTTTTTTTATGTACGGAGAGAAATTTTTGATAAAAATTATCTTACCGTTATAAAAGTGTATCATGAGTCATCGTTTCCTCATTTCTATCCCGAAATTTAGTAAAAACTATTGTAATATATGATGATCAAATTTGAGAGAAATTTAATCCTGATAAAAATAAAAATTACCGTGCCAGTAGAGTAAAAATTACGGTACCGCTACGGTAAAATTTACCAATCGTTCTAGAATTTTCGTTGTTATCTACATAAAAATTATTGGACTGGAAGCATAAAATTTATTATGCGTCAGGATAAAATTTCTCCAACGTAGAATAAAATTTGATCATCATATATTAATGTTTACTATATGTAAAAGGCCGAGAGGTCATACATGCCTGAATAAAAAAATATAAAAAAAATTATTAATGTTTACTAAATTTCTGGATAGAAATGACGAAACGATGACTCATGACACACTTTTATAGAACGGTAGGATAATTTTTATCAAAAATTTCTCTCCGTGTAGCAATATGAAAACTAAAAAAAGTCATCAACTAAAACAATACTTTCGCGACAATTCAATGAAAAACAACTGCACTTCGTAACTGGAATCATTCTAAACTTAATTAAACATCACGAGAAATAGTATATTTCAGGGCGAGTGCCGTGGGGTTTTTTACTCGCGTGGAGTTGGCGTTCGAGCCGAAGGCGGGGACTGACAAACCACGCGTTTAAAAAAACCCCATGGCGCTAGGCGTGAACGATATTATTCCGTAGTGATTTTCAGTTTTACGAGTTTGGGGAAGGGTCAATACCACTCCCCGGACGAGTTAAGTGAAGATCAGTACGGAAAAATGATTCACAGTCTTCACCATCATCACCTCCACCAAACAAAGACGCCGATTAATACCGGATCAACTAGGCTCTCCATCTCATTACTCTTCCCTCCATCAAGTAAGAAATGCGACACGCAAATATCGCGACTCCCCCGGATCCTCAACATTTTAATTTCCGAAATTTACGACGAACTTAATGACACGTGTTTCCCCGGAGTTTCCAAATCCCGAGCAGAAATAAATAAAAGCAAAAGGTAGAGAAACCCGAAGACGCGCGTGGAAGAAAGGGGGCGACTAAAAAAAAACACACACATCTCGACGGGGGTGAATGAGCGAGGCGGGTTGGGTACGTAATCTGCTAATGGACTCTCGCTCCATCCCGAATTCACCCTCACTTCGGAACTACTCTCCCCTGACCCTCCTCCATATCGTCCAATAACTTCCTTCTCTCTTCGTACTCTACCATCGTCGCATTTTCTAAACAAAAACTCTCGATCCACTAGTGACGCCGCGAAACATTTCACGAGGCATCACGAGACAAAACTCTGGAGAGACGATTTCGATCTCAATGAACATGGAAATCTTTGCTCTCGTTTCACTCTCAAAATACGCAATATCGATTCCTTTCGTGATGACTCCGAGTCAATTTATTTCATCTCGGTTTCCAGTCTTTCACACTTTTTATATGTAGAAACCGGAGACGAGCCAAGCCGAGACAAAGTCAGAGATTTTATATTAAAAAACACAAAAAACTTGAGACCGAGATGAGATAATTTGCCTCAGAGTCATCACGAGAGGAGTGTGACTCTACGTATTTCGAGACTGAGACGAGAGCAATGATTTCCGTGTTCATTGAGCGTGAGATCATCTCTCCAAAGTTTTGTCTCGTAAAGTGTCTCGCGGCATCACTACAATCCACGGATTAAAATGTAATCGTCAAACTGTAATAGGAAGGAATGCACAGAAAAAAGGTGACGACATGTGCATATAAGTAATTAGTTATGGTTGTTGTATTTTTTTTTCTCATTAAATTCTCATCATCAGTGACGCATCATACAGCGGCTGTAATTTGCCCCGTAATGCTTGTCTAACCCACGATCACGTCATAGAGACCTCGGGGGTCTACTCAATGAGGGCAGATGCTCTTTGAACATCAGCTGGCCCCTTTTAATGTCTAACTGGTGCTGTTCGGGTGTCGGAACAGTGATTCAGTCCTTCAAGTGTATTTTTTGTCTATTAGGAGGACAAAGGGTGGAGGAGAAAAATCAATCATTCATGTATGAAGTAAAAATGAAACTAATCCGCAATTGAGGATACTTCTTATAGAACTTCACGAGGATACTTGAGGTTTAAAAAAAGCGCTGTCTAGTAAACGTAAGATTGTCTAGAGGGGAGTGTGATTGCATAAGAGAGCCCCGTTGATCCGATATTAATCGAAATCTTCGTCCCTTGATGAAGAAAACGTACTGTAAGACACAGTTGACATGAATAATCAGTTGATACTTTCCACCCCAAGCGCGAAAGATGTATTCGATGGTGGATTAAGGGCCGGCACGTTTTCATCAAGCTTTTTTAAATACTGGAAAATTACTCTTTGTCAGAGTTACACGGAGAGAAAAATTCAATAACAATTACCAGAAAACAACGTATAAATTACGTTTCAAAACGTAATCCGCGAGCGATGTAAAAATTCAATAAAAAGTGTGAGTCGGAACTGAAATTGTACGAATCGCCACGTAAATTCTACGATTTGTTCCGTAAAAATTAACCAGCCGTCTGATGACTCACCGCTGTGGGGACAACAAGTCGTTCCGTAATTTTTCCCCAACGATTGAGAAATTTTACGGAACGGAACGTAAAAATAACTCATCAGCTTTTGGAGGCATAATAAGTCGGCAAGTTTTTGTAAGATTTTACTTCATCGGGAAAAATTACGTGACAATTTCGTACTCTGTTCGGTGATGAGCCTGAAAATTCACTGAACGTTTCAGATTTCTTCTCTTCCGTTCCTATAAAAATTGCCGGAAAACGATTCCCCATTGCGGATTACGTGAATTATTCCGCAATTTTTACTGAATATTTCTCTCCGTGTATCACAGAATTGAGAGGGAAAAATAATCACGCGGTTGGAGAGTTAGTCCTTAAATTTCAAATGGAATATCTCGAAATTGTCAAACCGTTTAAATTCCCAAGCAGCTATTAATTCTTCAAATCAGTTAATTTCCGGAATATTCAATCAACTTTCTATTTCCAGATTGATGTGATGATGAAAGTTATTGAAAATTTTGTAAACTCGTGCGAGTATTGTTCTGCATTCTCGATCTATTGAAAATTCAATTGAATGTGATCTTTAATTTCCACAATGAGCTTCGGAGTTCAATCTAACATTGAAATATCAATGATCGCATAACATAAAAAACCCACTTTTGTTCATATTTCGAGATTGATAAGTAATTTCGAATTGAATTCAAATTCATCCCATTAAAATTGTAATGCAACAGTTTCCTAAATCCTTAACGCGTCCATTTCCTTTGTGAAATCAATCAAGAAATCACACCACTGCTTAATCGAAACCACCCTCTCGAGTGTGTTCACTCGAGCAGTTGACTTCGATGCGTTCATTATCTTTCCTTATCGCCTTCACCAACGCATATGGTATTTTATGAACTGAATAGAGTGCCACTCTACGCCAAATGCACTCCAATGGTCTGTCGTTGTCCAGATTATCTTTGTGGCAGTGTAAAATCAAGTAAAAATTGCATCGAATAGAAACTTCAAATGTTCTCTCGTTTCCCCCGATATTTTTTCGAGCTGGTACACAACGTTACGAAGCGTAACGCAATCGATGCTAAGTAAAAGCCGTGACTGGTCGCTTTGCATCGATCAGGAAATTAATCATAATACATCAGCCCCTGGACGTGATATCGTCAGCAGAATAAAAAAGAATGAATGAAAATGGGAATGGGGGACGAAAAAATGGAGTGAGACTGCAGGAAATGACGAGAAAAACTGAGAAATGTATAAAATAGAACCCGGAAAATCTCGCAAGGGTTTCAACGACTGGTAGATCTTGGGAGGAAGTTGACCCAGGTGTATCTCGTTCTGATGGAAGAATCAACTTCTGCCAGTTACAAGCAGATTGGGACGCGTCAAAATTTGGGACACGACCAGTCAGAGTATTATGTTACTGACGGGTCACCTCTTGGTGGTCTTTCAGCCACCTTGGTGGTCCTCAGACAGCTCTGAGTGACGGTTTCGCGTCAAAATAATTGGACGAAAATAGAATTCTAATTGAAGGTGGCGAAAGTCTGGGATCGCTCGCTGGAAAAAAATTACAATTTCAATTTTGCACACTTACCCTATGATGTCGTTGATACGGGACTGCAGAGCAGCTTTATCGAAAGGCACTTCTGGGATTAGACTGCAGAGCAATTGCAGCACTGCTGTGGTTACGCTACCATTACCGTTTGTTGTGGCTGATGTCTCTTGGGCTTGGGATGAGTCTTCCAAAATTGCTACCGCCTGGAAGAAAAAACGTGGAGGTTTTTTCTCTGGCAATCCAAGTTATCTACCAAGGGGGGAACACCGAGGTAGTACAGTCGAGTACTAAAGTTCATGAACAAAACACATAGGATGCAAGTGCAGGCTGTTCACGAACTTAAGTCCGCGACTGTACACTGAGAGGAAAATCAACGAAAAGGTTTTAAATATGCGAAAATTCGATGGCATTGTCCGCAGTACAATCAGCGGAGAACTAAATTTGAAGAAAAACTTGGAGTAAAAAATTATTCCCCCCCCCCTCCCCCCCACGATACAAAAAAAATTGCAGAGGCAACTGACTTTAAATATGCAGAACAGATTCGTAATTTCCTGAAAGAATGTAATGTTAAAATTTAGAACTAAAAAAAAGTAATAATAATTATAAAAAATAATGAAACTGTTAACATACTGTATGTCGACAAATCAAAATGAAAAAAATCTTAACCGGTAATTCAATTGTGCGAGGTTAAATGCCAAATATTGTTGGGACTAACGACAGTGTAAATAATTCAAATTCAGAATGGAGTATTTTAAACAATAAAAAAAAATATGCGAAAGAATCCGCATTATGAAGATATTGAATCTTTCCAAGCGTGACGATTCTTCATCGGGAATCATCAACTGATTCACTCGGCAAGAATGAAATGAAACTGGAATCAATCAATCGTAAAAACCCCAAAGAAAACTGTACTTTACGTAAAATCAGAAATAACCGAAGGGTCAGAGCTGAAGAATGGAAGCCCTTCGCAGTATAATCGTAGCCAATGGCCCATAAAAATTCATTGCAATCTCAACTCTACGGCGCCTAAATCTTTTTCCAGATGGACAAAAAAATTCAATGACAAAATTGACTCAGTAAATTGTCACCGTATAGTGCGACGCAACAATGCCTGACGGATAATAGAACGAGTCACATGCTTCGAACAGGCACCGCGTAGTCTCCATTTGTCTCAACTCTTCAAGTACTAGTGCATGAGGAGTGTGATCACGTAGTTAGCGAGTTGGAGTGCGCGAATAGGTTTCGGTGAGAGCCGCGAGACAAAAGATCAGGTCGATAGTTGTGGTGGTACTCGTAGTTGAAAGACCAATGGGAAAAGAAATCTATATGCGACGAACAGAACAGAACAGAACAGAACGAGGAAGAAAAAATATGAAAGTACATCGACGAGACTTTGAGTCTCTATTCCCCGTATCCGAGTACTATCCGAGGAGTGAAATGCCTGTGTGCGTTTCGATGCCAGCTAAAAGCTCCTCTCTTGTCGCTAATGCATTTGCGGGGTGGGGTACCGAGGGAGGGAAAGGGAAAAAAAAATTTGGGGACAGAGTGTGGAGAAAGGAGAGAAAAAAGCACCCCCCCCCCCACGAATGAGTAATTGTTGTCTCGCTTTTTGTCACGATCTGACTGATTTGTGAATGTACTTGGAGATTAATTGTTCGATTGAGTACGAGGAAACAATAAATAGGAAATGGATCGCGGAGTGGAGAGGGGGAGGACATCCGAGGTACATCATAAATAGATTTTTTTTAGCGATAAAATCAAGTTTGTCCGCTTAGAGCTCTTAATCCGTATTTTGACAGAGTGACACGAATGTCAGACGTCGCGTCTTATGCAGATGGGGATTGGAAATGAACGACAGGGTAATCTCTTTGTCTATCTTGGGTATTAGCCCGGCGAGATATACTTCGCTACTTTTCTCTGCATTTTTTTTTGGCTTTATTATGTGGAGTTGATCCTGGAGGGGTGATTACACCTCGAGGAAGCCCGGGGTTTCCCTCTAATGGGCTACTGGCGCCATCTAGACGGCGATTGAGGGGTTCCAAGGTGTTCAGTGGATAAATCATTCACTGGTGATAATCCTCGCTGATAACCGGGGATAAACTTTTTCACATTCGAAATTTTTCAAGCAACGAGAGCCTTTTTCAAGTCGTCCTCGGATTTTAAAATAATAACAGCAGTGATTAATTAATTGTATTTGTCATAAAAGTCATGTTTCGCTAACTATACTAGCTTCTTCAGTAAATTCTACCCTCATTAAATAGAAATACATAACTTGCAGTTAAGTAGAAATGAATAACGAAAAAGAGGTCGTGGAAATCTCTGACGTTTGAGGCGGACTTGTAATCCTAAGTGATAAAGTCCTCAAAGAACACTTATCTGATCTAATTATCTCTGATAGACAACCATTTGCCTCATTCTTCAGCTCTTCAACTTCAGAGAAATGTCTCGGAAATGAAACTCGGGATTACTATTCACTATTTCAATACCGATGATCCTATCGCTCTCCCTTTCGCCCTCATTAATTTCCATTTCCAATTTTGGAATATCAAGGGCAATGGCCCCATCAATGTGATCCCTATCATGTTGAAAATAAAAAAAAAACATCGACTCACCTCAAACCTCTGCAGAAGGAGATCAAGTATCTCCAGAATTTTATTGCTAAGTACAACGGCCTCGATACTTTCCACATGATCACTAATAGCAATTTTGTAGACTCTACAAATCGAGACAATGCTCCTGGAACAAAAAAACCATGAATCACCTCGTAAACAAAAAAAATCCGTAATTAATAATTCAAATAGCTCACTTATTGGGCAAACCCTGGGAATTGCTCTGCACACTGACCCCCAGTTGCAGTAGATTCGTTAAAGTCTCAAAACCCCCAAGTGACTTAAAAACCTCGGGATCCTGAGGGCAGGCCTTATTGAAGGCCCTCCCAATTTCCCCGAGACAGCGTTCAAGCCCCGCCACCGCAACATTAGCCCAACTGTTCTTCGAGTGACTGCAGGACAGCCTGTCCAACTCCTTCAAGTTCCTCCTGAACTTGGCTTTATTGCTCGACTCAACTTGGCCGCAATCTCCCTGCGAATTCTCCCACTCCTGTCCCCTAGCCGTCATCTTCTGCTTGAGTTTCCTGGAGCGTCTCTTGAGAGCCTTCTGCTTCTCCTTAGTAGCTTTGTCATCCCCTCCAGAGACTCCCACAGCCACATCCCTGATCTGAGTGATATTAAATCTCTGCAGGTCGTCCCTGGAAGCCTCCCTCCCATCATGCATCTTCCTCACCAGCTCCAGATGACCCTTTCCCTTCAAATGGCTCAGAAGACTCAGTTCATTCGGTATCTGGGTCCCACAAAGCGAGCACTGCTTGGGTGCAGGGTAGGATTTCAATGTTGGAGGGATCTCCTCATTCCTCAGAATCGAGGACTCCACAGCCCTCTGCCTAATGTGCTCGATATTCTCGACATGCCTCCTAGCGGATTCCTGCTGCTTCTGAGCGATCTTCTTCTGCAATTCCTCTTGATTAGCCAGCTGGGCAGCATGAAGAGCACTCAGCCTCTCCTCCCTGTCCCTCGCCTTCTCCCTCGCCAACTCCTGACGCTCCTTCTCCCTCTCCAGCTGCATCTTCCCCACCCTCTCCTCCCTTTCCCTCCTCGCTTGTCTCATCTTCTGAATCCTCAGCTGTCTTTCGGCCTCCAACGCCCTCCTCCGCTCCTCAGCTGCAGCTTCCTTCGCCGCCTTCTCCTCCTGCCGCCTCTGACGCTCCTCCTGTATCCCCTGAAGACGCTCCTCCTGCTCCTGACACAGAGCCATGAAATCGTGACGCTTGTTCTGGGCTTCTAGCTCATTTATGAAAGCTATCTCCTTCAATTTGGAATCCTCATCGTGAGCCTTCCTCACCACTTCCAATAAATGCTGACTTCTGTTCTCCTCAGCTCGCTTTAGTTTCATCTCCATTCGAACTCGTTTATCCTCTGTTAACTGGTTCTTCGCTCTCTTCACATCCTCAACCTTGTTTAAAAGTTCTCGAAGCCGTTGCGATTTCTCCAGCAGTAACTTCTGTCGCTTGTGCTCAGCACACGCCTGCTTCGCTTGGTATCTTCTCAATGCCTCTGGCAACGATCGTTTCCGGGAGGGTGACGACAATTTTTGGTGGAGTTCCAGGGCTCTCCCAGGATGTCGAGCGACCAGAGCCTTCAATTGCGCAAGGGTATCCACGCGTTCTGCCCAGGACATACCCTCCAGCATGTTCTCGTAACGATCCTCAAGGCTGATGTCATCGATGGCTTCGTCCTGGAGGATTTCCTCCCGCTCCTCAATCTCAAGTACCATTTCACCGTCCGTCTCGTCAGTCTCTGTATCGATGTCGATTTCAGTCGATTCCAGCTCCTGTATTTGACGCTGTAACGAGGCTTCCTCGTCCGAAAGCTGTTGAGATCTCTGTGAGTCCGCTTCCTCTGTCTTGCGCTCCTCCTCGAGGATTATTCTCTCCCTCTCTGCCTGCGCTGCCATGAACAGCTGGATTTTCTTCTCCAGGAGATCAGCTTCGTTCTTGAATACTGCTGCAATCATCGACGTGGAGTTTGTATCGCAGACGATTGGAGCTAGATTCTCCTTCCTCAATTCATCCTCCTGGGGATTTGTCTGGCTCTTGCACTTGTTCTCTGATTTTTCCACTTGGATATTCATTGTCACAGTGTCTCCATGCTCTGACTTATTATCGGGTGTGATTTCACATGAATTCTTCTTGTGTCCATCGCTGGAACTCTCGATGGACAGGGCAGGGAGGGAAGTGGCTGTCGTTGGCCGATGAAACCTCGTGGACATGTTTAAACTGTGGGAACTGCCTCGTCGACACCTGGACCGCACCGTCTGCCAGCCGTCGGGGTCTTCGGAGGGCCTCCTCGACTTTGCTGAGCCCTTGGTGAGTACCTCAACGGACCCTCTGATGTCACTGGGCTCTTGAGGTTGCACATTCGTCCTGAATTCTGGCTGGCGTCTTCTCACCATCACCGATGAGCCAGGACGTGCCTTGTTGACACTCGAGACCTCCCTGGCGCTCAGGGTCGTTTTACTACGGACCATCCTGGGAGTCTCTGACGTTTGCGATGGATTCGTGGCCCTTGGGGTTCTAGTCAGGGTCGAATAACTGGGACGAGCTGACGACGATGGGGTCCTCGATGCTCTCGACGCAGTCTTCGAGGGATACTTATTCGATTGCTCGTTATTGTCTGGTCTAAGTATCTCGGATAAAGTGCCATTCGCCTTGTTCTTCAGCCTTTCCATCTCAGAGATGTTGGAGGAACGTCTCAGGTCCATATTACTGTTCTTCATTTCTGCACTCTCCCTGTTCTCCTTGTTAATACTACTATTTTTGGCATCACGCTGATTAATCTCACTCAAACTCTTTCGAGTTATCGAGACACTGGTGTTTGCTCTGGGGGTAGAGGCCTTCGCTGGAGGCCTCCCCGATATTTTCGAGAGTGTTGATTTCTCTCTGGCGGTTAATTTTTCAGGTTCTTTGCTCGAGTTGCCGGTTTTATCTTTCATGTGCTTGTTGGGGTCCTTCTTCGAGACGTTTCTATTGTCCTTCATTCGTTTGTGCTCCGAAGGATTCAACACTTCTCTCTTCGGCTCCATTCCAGTCATTCTATTCTCGATTATCGTGTCGTCTGGGCTTCTGCATGTAGGGCTCATCCACTGGGATGGACTCGAGCACTTGGGGTTCCACATTCTGCAGGGGGAGGTTTTACGCACCTCCCAGGCTAGGGGGGTTCTCCTCAAGGGGGGAGGGGAATTCTCGTATGCCCATTTTACTTTGAACCATTCTATGAGGTTGTGGAAGTCTCTCGTGTAGTTTTCGAGGACCAAAATCACTTCTTTGCATTCTGAGATGTTCTCGTCTTCCTCGCATGTCTGGTAAATACCGTCGACTGCGCGCTGGAGGTTGCCGAAGAGGAAGGCCCAGTAGCGGGCCTGGAGCTCGGATTTTTTGTCACGTCCTGTGGAGGCTGATCGAACTCGAGTCGTACTCTTTATGTTCCTTTTTATTGAGGAACTTGGCACGCGGGGGATGCTCGGGGGCTTTCGAGTCACTCTCTCGGGGGTTGTCGTGCCCATTGGAACGTTGAAGGCTACCAAGTTTCGTGCTGCTCTACCCTCTTCCTGGATTAGTAGTCGAACGTCAGCCATTGTTTATTTATTCCTGGAAATTATGGAGATTATTGTGATGTTGAAATTTTTATATCAATGGAAGTTAGAGAAATTCAGACAGACCCTAAAGGGGAGATTAAGAATGTTCGACACCCTTTTAGCCAAAATTGACGTTGTTTTCATTTTTCTGGCAAATTATCGATGGGAGTGACGTGAAAAAATATAACGATTTTGTGGTTTGTCATTCTTTAATGGCTCACGAAGTTGCGTAGTGGTGCGATAATTTTCATGCGTTTTTTCTACAGTTTTGTGATTCTTTTTAAAAGTTTAGAGAAAACGCAGGAAAATGTTCGCACCACCTTAAAATTTCGTCAGTCATTAAATAATGACAAAACGCAAAAACGTTATATTTTTTCACGTCAATTCCATCATAAGTTTGCCAGAACAATTAAAAAAACGTGAATTTTGGTAGAAAGGGTGTAGAACATCCTTAAGTAGAGATCTCTGTAGGTACGTCAAAGAATTCGAAAGATTGGCAAATAGCGATCCAGCACCGAAATAGCCCGAGTGGCAATGAGTGTGAAAAGAAAGTTATGAGCGGAAGATGTATAGGATATTAAAAATAATAAAAATGCATAGATAGCTATTGAAGTAGGCATGACTGGAACTAAGAGTGTGAGCGGAAGAAGAAGAATAATAAGAACAGAATATTGATATGATGAGTATGATTTTGAAGATGAATATAAGTCTCAATGTGATAATAAGAACGGGTAGATTGTTAGAATCTAAGTTTAGTTTTAATCACTCTGTAACCGGTGGGAATGTAAAAGGCTATACAGTTTATGAAATAAAAAAATCTATCTATCAATGGAAATTAACACAAAGAATAACAAAATGAATTAAATTAGCTCTACGGGGCTACACTGAGACAAAAAATCTCTAATATCTGAAAAATATTTTCTTGAGACAAGTAATTTTTCTTCAATTGTTAGATTTTCTCAGACATCTCAAGGGGCCAGAGAAAGGTCTCATGCTTTAAAATATTCTTGTACTCAAGTATGATTTTGTCGCAAATGAACTCACTCAAATCGCGTAGATGAATCGTCAGTCTTCATAATTTTTTTGTTATGCAGTTCCAATATTTCGATATCTAATATATTCATGATATTATGCGCAACGATAGTGATAAATGAGAATTCCTTCGAGTTCCGTGAGCCAAACATTCTGAGAAACATTCTGAGATTTAAACTATTGAAAACAATTTTCTTCTCTCAAGTAAATATGGTCTACGTATTAACAAATTTTTCTCTCAGTGTAGTGCACTGCGGTGGTGGGTAGGCTTAGCTTTGGGAAGCTAAGCAGCGCAGAGCGTGATCACTAGATGGATGGGTGGCCGGACGGGAACACTTCAGGAAAGAAACATTGTTCGGAAAAACTGGAAATAGCATTGGGAAAAACAAATATGCGGCAAAAGCGCAATGAAGAAATGAGAATCCGTAAGAACCGACAGGTATACGGTGAAATGGAATAGAAAAACAAAATGAATTAAATTAATGTGAGTTTAGAAACAAAAATGACAAAGAAAAATTAAAACTCCATTAACTTTATGTCCACATTTTGACCAGTGGCAAGTGGCATTGACAGCCCACGCAAAATCACGAATAAATTTGCGCACAAAAATCAACATTTCTCATTAACTGCAGAATCTTTTCCAAGGGTTACGTACGTGAAGCATAATTCGATGTTGAGTCACGTGGATCGAATAAATAACTCCACTGGGACGACAACAATCTCGTTGCACGCCTGTTGTGATCGATCGCGTGACATCTCAAACAGAACAGAACAAGAGAAGAACAAAACTCAACCTGACATTTCTCCTCAGCTTCTTTATTTCGGGGAGTGGAAATGAGGAGATGGAAAAACAATTATTCCCGGTTGTTGGCAGCACTGGGAATCTCTCCCTCTCGCTCTCTCCACACTTCTTCACACAAAAAAATAGGGAATAAAAAAAATACGCAAAGGTGTTGGTAAAACCGAGAGTTAAAGGAGCGAAGATCTTGCCCATCGGCTCTCAAAATCAACAGAATGATCATTAATCGAGAAAATGAATTAAAATTGTCAGCCAGAGAGAGACAGATGATTTCGCAGCGCCACCCAGAGGATGAGTCGTGCGGCGATTCGGTTTCGACGTTCACATTTCTCACATCAAAATTAGATTATACGATTTATCGAAAAAATATTTCTCCAACTGCTGTAAGGCTGCCCTACAGAGAGAAAAATCAATTGCATTTTCTGGGTCTCGAGGTAGTCCCAGTGGCCGCAACATCGTGGTTGAAGAATTATTTATTTTTATTTGTGGTAATCAATCGTTCGTTGGGGACGCATCAGAGCCCTGAAAACCGTCGACTTGGAGGTTTCTAGAAGTGAGAGGGAAGACGAGCAACGACACAATACTCTCGGAGTACGCGATAGTGCCGTGCCAAGACGTTACCCGGGTTCCCTCGACGCGGGGCATTTATTTGTCGGTTATATAGACACGTACGTACAGCATTTAACCACTTTATAATTTTAATCATCAACACTTGTGTGGTAACTGCAATTGAATTGCACAAAATTTTCTTCAACTAATTATTTTCCCGGCTACGAACGAGGGACTTTTGGGTGCACAACTGTTCGGCGTTCTCGATCATCCCAGTAATAGTCTTTTTTTTTCCTCTTTGTTTGTCAAAGATTGGAGAAATACGACAAATAATGTTGTTTCGCTGTTTTTTTTCGAAGTGTGATGGTATGTTGGGCATTCGGGGGCTTCACGAGGGCATAAGTTTTTATTGATTGATTTAATTTTTAAAAAACACGTACGAGAAATTAGAGCTTATTTTTCTCCTTCTTTCCTGGTAAGGTCATGCCCCCACTTCATTGTTCCTTGGATGATTTATTTTTCTCGAGTTGAATTTTCACTTTTTTTTCATCGGTTGCTCACGTTTTTTGCCCCATTTTTTTTTTCTCTTTGTTCTGCTCGGCCTGTCAATGTCAGTGGTTGAATGAACGGCGAAGTGGCCGTCAGGATAGTGGTTAAGTTTTCGGGTTGGGATTATTCGCATACTGCAGCAATCAGTTGAAACATTTGCAGTGTAATTGGGTTTTCTACGCTTGCTGAATGGTTTTTGGTGAATTCATCTGGGCCATTTCGTTTTGTAGAATATTCAATGAAATAATGGCTGCGTTGCCAAGGCGGATTATCAAAGAAACACAGAGACTGATGCAAGAGCCTGTACCTGGTATCAGTGCTGTGCCAGATGACACGAATGCTAGATATTTTCACGTTATTGTGACTGGACCCGAGGACTCGCCATTCGAGGGTGGATTGTTTAAGCTCGAATTGTTCCTACCTGAAGATTATCCAATGTCAGCACCAAAAGTTAGATTTATCACCAAGATCTATCATCCTAATATTGACAGGTAATTCATGTACATGGAGAAGAGATGACTCTTCATTTGTAATTCCATCTGTGATTTTGGTCTCAGTGATGAAGTTGTCGAATGGTTTGAGTTAATTCTATTTTCGAGCTGGCTTTTGACACTTCACTGCTGCATTGCCTTGTTAATTAATTAACGGAGGGGGAAAACGGCTTGAATAATTTACACTTCATCATCAGTATCTGCGGGATATCTCGTCAACTGAAAGAAAGCTAAATTATTCTCAAGACATTTTTGGAGGAAAGAACGAGAACTTCGAAAAAGACTTTTACAAAAATCAGCATTTCCTATTAAATTCACAAATATTCTCTGAGACGTAGGGGAGGGTGGGGTAAAATGGACAGACTAGACTTTTTTTTAATTATTCATAACTCAGAAACAAATTTATCAATTGAGCTCAATTTAGGCTCGTCTCAAAGGGAAATAGTTGTTCTGTGTATTGAAATTCATCAACATTTCATCCCCTCATTAACATTTTAAAAAAAGTCAAAAGTGTCCGTTTTACCCCAACCTCCCCTAATAATATAAGCCAAGACGACTTGAGAATGTTGGAGTGATTCTCATAGTTTTATTTAAATTCCATTCCGCAAAGAGAAACTCTCTGAAAATGGCTATTTTCCCAAATGTTTTCTCAAAATTGAAACAAGATAATGGCAAAAGGCTCAGTAACCTAGTGTTAAATAAACACTTAATTAAAATCCCCAATGTTTAAATAAACCTGTTGAAATGGGTTGAAAAAAAAATGGCCAAAACATCTCGGTATTCTCAAACCATTTTACCTCTTCACAGGAGACTTACTCCATTTTCCTTTCACCTTGCTGATGCATAAATATTATTCAATGTTTAGACTCGGAAGAATCTGTCTGGACATTCTTAAAGATAAATGGAGTCCAGCACTTCAAATAAGAACGGTATTGCTATCAATACAGGCACTCCTGAGTGCCCCAAATCCGGACGATCCATTGGCGAACGATGTCGCTGAATTATGGAAAGTCAATGAGAGCGAGGCGATACGTAATGCCAAAGAATGGACTCGCAGATACGCTATGGACAACTGATCTCAGCCGAGTTTCATAAGTCAGCTAATGCGTTGCCCAGTCCACTCAGACACTTCGAATTATAATCCTCCTGGCACACTGGCGACGTTTCGTACACCCGTGTCCACAATTTTGCTATGCAAATAATAAAAATAACAAGAATAATAATGAAACACCGTTTTTTGTAAAGAATTTAAAGAGAAAAAAAACAAAAATTGATAATATTTGGGTCTGTATTTTTTACGTGTGCCTGGGAGTTTAAAAATATTTCGCACCGTTTAAAAATGGAAGATAAATGCTAAAAAAATTAATCTGTTCAGTAAAATCATAGTCTTGGTAATGAGACTGCTGATTATCTTGTGGATAAAATTTAAGAGTGAAAATTCATTGAATTTATTTACCTAGTTCCATTGAAAATACGTGTCTATCGAAGACACGTGCAGTTGACTCGAAGTGATTTCATGGAATGAATTTAGATTTATGAGACGAAGGTAATTCGGAGAATTTAACTGAAATAATTTCGTTCAATTTTGTTCTCTCCCATTGAATTCTGAAAAATGTAGATAATTAATCAGGTGGTGATGAGCGAATTGACCCTAATGTGCTGTGCAATGAGGTGTCTATTTCGCCCCACGAATAACTGAAACATCGTACGAACAAAATTTCGGATTATTGTCATAACTCAACGCATTTGGTCCATTGGAAACTGATTCCATGTGGTGTACAGTATTAAGGATATTAAGTGAAACAGAAAACATTCAAATGTGCTTATCAATGTACCCAAAAAATTACAAAGAAAAAAAAACAAAAGCGGAATTCAATACTAATGTGACTGTCTGTTTAATTTCCTTTTTATTCTTCTCATTGATTTTCCTTCAGTTCAATTGGGATTTGCCCTCCAAAGCCCAACACTCAATTCATCTTCATTTACTCTTTGGATTGTACATAGATGATAAATATAGCCTAGCAGCTTTTGATAGATATATATATTTTTTAATTATTATTTTAAAAGTAAAGTTCAAATATCTCAGATCGATGGTGAAGTATCAATTCGATAGTTACCGCAATGGATTGTAATTCAAAGGATGAGGTTTTTTTTGAGACTAGCACTTATGAAAACGCCCGACACGACGTTGTATTTATACAGATATGAAAAAAATTGAAAAACTATAAAAAAAAATAAATGTCATTTGTACTAGATAAATTTGTATTAGAGTAAATTATGGTGGCTTTTCCTTCGCAAATACCGTACGAACCATCTCAGATGGATGATCCTTCCGTTTACTCAATCTAATATCAACAAAACGAGGAAAAAAATAAAAAATACCGTTGACTGAAGAAAAAAGTGGGATTTTTTGAATTCAAAATTACAGTTTATTGTTATCTTTGTGTGGACTAGTATAATAGTTATTACCATATACACATTCAATAGCTCACTGATAATTTAACTTACATTATATACCACTCACAAACATTGATAAAGATAGTCGTGATGATTTTTTTAAATATATTTTTTTTGTCAATTATATTTCACTTTTTTTTCAGCGTGCCTCTTCACGACTCCCAAGCTACAGCGCGCAAGCTCTAGCATCATAATAGGATTAATTTCTTAATTTATATCGTCTTTTGTCCCTTTCAATTATTTATAACGTTCAATTTATTTCAAGTCACTCCTCGAGTCACCGCCAGACATCCTTTACTCGCAATTCCCATTAGCTTTTTGGAAAAAGAAAAATTTCAACAAAACATGTTGCCTCTAAACACATTTTACATATAATTAGTTCAAATACAATACAAGTTCAGTTTCTTGTCAGTTATTTCTTCCATATTACATCCCCCATGTCTTAATCTCTGTCCCTAGCAATTATTAACAGCCGACAATTATTTATTTATTTTTCTTCTCCTAAGATGGAGTGATGAATATCAGGGCAGACCATTGGCTCAGAACTCCGATATTCATCCGCCACCATATCAACATGCTGTCGTAAAAAAATGATTTACTCTTTCTTCTAGACATATATATTCGCTTCATTATTATTTTCTCATCTTAATCATTATTTCAAAAAAGAGAAGAATTATTCCGAAACAAATTGAAAAAGAGAAGGTACTCGTTATCTACATGTTTAATTTTTCTGACATTGAAGACGAAAATAGGATGATAGTGACTTGGCTCTCACAATTTTAGGGATTCGAGAGGATGATTTAAGCGATGAAATCATAATATCGTGACATTGAGGAGAGTGAATATCATAGATCGGCTAAGGTTTAATTGTTCAAGCAGGTCTCGATGCACTCAATAATACAGCGAAGCATCATCATTTATCATTTCTACTCCCTCTCATGGCATCGTGGATTCAATGTTAACAACAAAAGCTCATAAATCATTCTCAGAAGTTCAGTCGGGGTGGCTAAAGCAGTCGAGTATTCTCATTTTTCCATTTCCCCTCATCTCTTACTTTAAACTGAAAACTATAATATACTTTTCTCTTACGCTTTAATGACTAGATAAGTTTTTTGAACTTGTTAGCCACCCACCTACATAACATCTTGTTTGATCCCATATTACATAATCTGATCTATTCCAATTCTCATCGAGGATATGAATTAAAAATGGCTACATTATTCCCCCCATTATTCCTCTCAACCAACAATCCTTGCTATATTTGCTGAGAATAATTTGTTGAAATGAAGATTTGATATTCCCTTTTCAAATTCCATGATCGATTTCATTCTACATGAGCGTTATTTATCGAAATGAGCACCACCAGACGCAGAGGAATACTATTATCCCATCGAATCCAATTTGAATGACTCTGCTCGATATTTCAGTCTGTCGAGTACTAATCAGATGCAAAGAAAAAAAAATGCATTTTGCCAATTTATGACTCTCCCTACAGTTGATAAGTATTCCGTGATGATTAAATGTTACGAGCTTTCGAGTGAAATGGAAGCTCAATGGCAATAAAATGAAGAGAAGGAAAGAACACATTCGTAGGATAGAGATGTACGTCTTCGTCTTAATATTCTTGTGGTTTATCATCATTTATGGCATGCTCCTCTAAATATCACGTTATTTGTCATGAGGCATACAAATTCAAAATTACATATTAGATACACAATATGTCTTTTAATACGAATTCATCTGTTTTTTCAGTAAAAATCAACAGACTTGGGCACCACAATTTTCTCCTTTTTATCTTCAAGCAAACTTTCTTAGCTTATGTAGAAGGTAAAGGAATGTATAGATTCATCTTGTTTTTTTTATCGAGTTTTCGAGGACTGGGAATAGAGTCATTTTGTTTAGAAATACTTGGACTACATAATTTGTCATTAAATACGTAATATACAAGATTTCATTTGTTATATTATCTTTTAGCCCTGCTCAAGAACTTGAAATGAGCTTTTTTGTGCTATTTATAATAGTGTGCATTGAATTTATCTATCATCTTCCTTGGCGTATTGATTTTTTATCCATCAATGTGAATTCCTACAGCAGTTTTAGTGTTTCAAATCTTTCAATCGGACTCTCCTTTGCAGTTTAATAATAAATATCTTTGCAAAGCATTCTTTCTTAATTGATGAATTGAGCCAAACTGAGCATTAACCCTAATTTACATTTAAAAACTAGCGTCACAAGCCTATCGATCCAACACAAAAAATGTTCATTCTCCAGATATTCCAAAAAACTGCCATAGAAAATCCCATTTACGTCCTGATAAAATGTATTTATATTTTATTTATATTTCATATTTATATATTTATAGATAGACTTTTTCTATGATAATCATTATATAAATTATGCTTCAGATTAAATACTTAGTTAACGTCATTTCATCGTCATCTCTTTTTGTATTATTTCGTACGTTTTAGGGTCTTAGGATCACGCGAATATCTATCATTTGGAACAAACCTTTCTTCCTTGGGGAGAGGAGTGGATATAGTAGTGGATGGCGGATTGTATTGTCTGTTCACTACGTTTAAATCGCCCGGTTACTGACTATTTACTCCGTTAACACGTTTGTTTTGGTTTTTATTCTATTTTTCCTCCTTTTCTTTGTTTTATATGTACACTGGGGATTCTTGTCCTGTCAGTAACCTGAACATTGACGTGGGCATTGTCTTCATGAGGATCTGAAATCAGAATATCACCAAAATATTATGAATCATCACATTGAAATGGGGTTGAAATTTTCATTTTAATTTCGTGCAAATTATTTTCTCCAAAACATTCGCAAAATTTTCACTTAAAACTTGAAGTGAAGCCCTCGTAATAATCCCTTCCCCTCCATAATGACCGAAATTATCGATTTCTCACCTCGCCAACTGACGTAGCCAAAAGATTAACAATCTTCTCATGGGGCACCGCCACGACACTCTGATTGTTGATCTCGATAATCCTATGACCAACTCGTACACCACCCCTCTCAGCAATTCCTCCCCTCAACAAACTACATATAACACCATTCTGTACACTAAAACCAAGCTGATACTTGGTGTCGGGCCTCTTTATTTTGACCTCAACCACTGGTGCACACGGTACAACAGTGAGTTTAACAACTGTCTGATTCTTAGAGTTTTTGATATAAGTTTGACACGTGGACAGTGGAAGGCCAACCAGTGATACACCATTAATAGCTATTATCTGATCACCAATGTTCAATTGTCCGCATCGTGCAGCAGCTCCAGCAGGTGCCAAATTGGCGATAACAACTGTTGGTAGCATTGAACCCCAGCCAGACTCGACAATGACAACTCCCAGTATTTCTCCCTTGGCTTTGGGCACCACAACTTCCTTCTGCATCTCCTTCTTGGCGAACATCTGCAGCTCATCGCCAAATATCTCCTGCGAGTTGAGCACCTCCTGGTAGTCCATTTCCTTCACAAAACTGTGATCCTCTATTCCGTTGGCTTTGAGAAACTCCATATAGGCTACTTGAAATGCCTGGCCAATGCTCTGCGCAATAAACTGTGCCTCTTCACTCTCAAATACATGGCATATCATCTTTGGTGTTCGATTTATCTTGGGTGCTTCTTCCATTTCATGGGGGACAAATCGTCTGCGCGCCATGAGAACAACGAGATCACCTATATCAGCTATGTATGATATTGTTCTCAATGCATGGTCCATCATAATTTCCTTGAGATCGGTGTTCAGGACCATAATTTTTTCAGTTGATATGAAGAGATCCACCTCGGTGCTGGGCTGGGTCTCACCGTCTGGTGCCTGCAATTTTATTTTCCGTCAAGAAAATTCATTTTTTTTCACGCCACAGGGCACGCGATAAAGTTAATCAATTTACTCACCAATGCCTAAATCAATAGAAGCAGCATGTAAGCGAGTTATGAGTTAGTACGGAGCTTCAATGAGTTTATTAGATGTACCTTTTTATCAACTAGTTAACTTATCAGATCAGAGGAATTATGAGTTAATGGTGAAATCATTCGTAAATTAATCAACTAAATGATAATTAACGTAACTAAACTTATGAATAGTGCGTGGTGGTGACTGATGATCGTCGAGGAAAAATTATGATCATTTTTTTCATAATTTTTGAAATGGTCATTTGTACCTCCAATTGGTCAATCTTCGTTCGTAATTCCATTAAACGAGTATAATTTTTTCTCCGCGCTGCAAACCGTTTTCTATCGGTGTATACAGATCCTCGATGTTTGTCGGTGTTGGAAAAAATATATGTAACAACTCAACAATTCACGTGGCGGCTTGACTGAAGCAGCTCTATCATAAATTCATAATAATCCGTAATGCAGAAACCTTTGGTCAATCGAATTAATTATGGAACAGCATTCAGTTACAACACCAAAGCGTAACGAGGGTGCAGTCATAAAAATTCATCATCAAACCGGGGTAAATAATCAGATAACTCTAAATATATCAATGTAAAATCAGCACAGGGGTCATTGTATAGCGATTGAATTCGGTTTGCAGCATAATAAAACATAACGAAATGGGCATAAAACGATAAATCATCGATAGAATAATTGAAATGCATGCTAAAACCAAAGAATAACGATTCAAACAAGCAGTTGGGGGGGGGGGGAGAAGGAGAGAAAAAGACGAGACTCGAAGCCACGACAGTGTAAAATAAATATCAATTATTGGAAGGTAATTGAAAAATTTTCCTGTCTTTGAAAAAATTCATCAATTCTCTCAAACATTCTGATTTTTTTTTTGTTTTTAAAAGGGGAGTGAGGGGCGGACCTTGATTTTAGTGACAGCCTCCTCGACCATGTGCTTCTTAAGGCGTTTACGCCGTTTTCTTCCCCCTTCCTCTTCCACCTCGACCGAACCGAGAAAATGTAGCCTGAAAACGGTGGTAGGACCAAGCTGTTGGCCGCCGATTGGGACAGCCAGTTTATTTCTCTCCTTTTGGTTGTCCAACGTATGTTGTTGTTCTGGCTGTACCCCACCGGCGACACTTCCTATGAGCTCCTCACTCGAGTCACAATCTTCATCTTCAATGCTTCCTTGTGATGCAACACTGCAGCGTCCATAGCCATGCTGGCCTGGACCATAGTTTAATAGAGTTGACTGCATTTGAACTGGCTCATCCTTCATCGGTTATTGTCAATCGTCAATTGTTGATGTATGGGTCGTTGATATCACGCGAAGGGCCAAACAGAACAAACAAACAGAAAGGCTCGGCTAGTTGTCAACAATGCCAATAGCAAACCACCAAAGGGAGCCAATTAGCTAATGCTCTTGTCATCATTTCCCATGGATTTTTCATTTACTTTGGGAATCTGAGTCACTCTTTCATGAAGTGAATTTATAAATTATTCATTCCGAATTCTTTTCGGACTCAACTACTGGATGAGGGAAATAAATTCAAGCAAGCTGCCATTGTTACTCAGATTTCCTGATTTAATTTCCAAACGTTATTCAAAGGGGATGAAAAAAAGTCTTTGATTGCCACTGGAGCTCAACGAGAAGCAATCAAAGACACATTCACGGACAACTGGGTTTTTTTTTCAGGGAGGTGACACACATTTCGAGATTTACAAACTTTCATGGTACGGGGTACGGGGAGGGCAGAGTGCAAGCTTGGACGTTATATTCTCACAATCGAAACTTTTCCAATTATTGATTTTAGTCAGAAGTTAAAAGAAGAAAAGGGAGCAAAAAAGTTCTCAATTTGTTTAGCTCACATTCATCGTTATGATTTTAAAAATAAGTTGAATGAGATTTTTTTTCCTCGCAATTATTTCCGTTACTCCACGTTCGCATTACATTTGAAAATTGTGGTTTTCTCAAACAATATTTGATGATTAATATTAAACAGCTCCTGGCATAATGCAAATCAAATTGAAATCCGAAATTCAACGATAATGCTGTTGCACAAAAGCTATCAATCACTTTTCAAATTTACTGCATCATCCAAAGCAAGATAAAAAATCAATGTCAACATTCAGACTTGGCTTCTGTCTCTCATGCCTATCTAATTTCTCTCAAATTCAAAATAACAAAGTCACAAAAAAAGTGTATGTGTGCGTATTCGAATGCTTGGTGGTAACTTTCAATGATGTCAAATAAACTACGAGAAGAAGCCCAACTTATAAACTGACAAGCAGACGATTTTTCAACAGCAATTAACAGTTATCAAGTCAAACGAGCGAAACATCCAACAGACACATAACTCAAATGACATTAAAATGATTAAATAACAAAGTTACACTGAGAAGATGACAGTGTTCGGTGGTCGGGTGGTGTTTTTAATATATATTTTTTTTCGTGATGTGAGGAAGGGGGTCGCTACACTGAAACATTCAGGCCTTTTTGCATAACGGCCATCGCACAATTAATTATCATATATCCGTTGACGAAATAACTCCATAATAGTCACAAATGAGCCAGCGATTTAGACTTCAAATCTGTTAATTATTCACTCAGCGTGGCTCCGCATTGTCTCATTGTTCATAAACTTCAGCTAATGCACTAATTAACGAAACTAATCGAGTCAATCTTAATCTAAGAAAAATTATCAAGGAGCTTTCAATTAATGAACTATAACACTGAGATGATGCATCTCCTCTAAACACTGTCCAAATCACTTTAATTTCAATTAAAAAGTTCTTCCCATCTGGGCGCAATGCCCTCCCCCCACCGAAGAACTTTATAATTGCTACAGTAAAAATAAATATCGATGAGATTCATTTTCGAAAACATTATTCACTTCATATGATCTTCCATCAACAAACCTCTATAATCTCAAACTAGTAAATACTTCATCATGATTAAAACATAAATATGTAAATAGTTATAGAAGCATTCGTAGCATGCCACGGTTTATGCTCTCTCCCGCAATACCAATTTCACCCCATTGTAAATAATCATTCGCGAAAACAAAAATAATATTCATAATATGTACATCAATAATTGTTTAATATTCAGCGAGTTTATCCTGACTGAATGTGTTATCCATGAAATGAACATAAAATTAATAATACGGAGATACAAACTACATTTTTATCCATCGACTGTGAATTTTGCCTCTTGATTCATATCAACTACAGATATCCCACTGAGAGTCATTAGAAATGATTAAAAATGATTATACATTTTCCCCATCGAGATTGAATACATTATTCTGTCATAAAGTTGATGTTCAGGGTCATACCTTTATCCTGGAGACAGCCTCCTCTGCCTGGCACATCCTGGTGGATTTGGTGGGCTGTCCTTCGCAGACGAGTTGCGTTGACCCGAGGTACCTCGCACGAAAGAGAACACCCTCGATCAGCACTGACGGATCATCCAGGAGTCCTGCAAGTGGCACGGACACACGTGTTTTACTCTCAATCTCACTGACATTTTTAATAAGTGTTCCAAATGTTATAACGTAGTCAGTGGATGCGCGAAAGAGTTTAATCGCGCTTTCCGAATCTTGAATAGCAATGGGACACTCCACGTCATTCATTACGAAATGCTTCCAATAGACTCGAGAAACACATTGAATGGAAAATTCGGCTTATCGATGGTATGTGGAAGATACTATTTATTAACTATCTCAACTTTCATATCTGTGTCGAAACTAATCGCTTTATGATGAGTTGATAAAATTGTCAATTCGTCGCTTCACGGCTATTGAGACTGTTGACATAACACAGCGAAAGAGCTATTGTAATCAATTCATCGAGTTAGAAGCCAAATAAAAGCAGGAATTACGTTGCTCGAGTGGGAGACGAGTTTTCAGCGCATTCCGGCTTAACGAGTTGTATTAATTTAGGCATGAATGTGGTATCATGTCAGTGGGATTTTTTTCTTCTACAACGCGTGATTTGTGACGTCAGGAATGAGGATAAGTGAACGTTATTACACAGGGAAAAATTGGTGTCTGCCTTCCCTAGAGAGCATTGGGGAGATGTTTTTCCGATGATTCTGAATCCGTTTGCAGAATTTCGATAGGCCATCTTGTTTCAGAGGAAATAAATGTTTAAGTTACAAAATAACGCGCGCACCAATCGGTCTGAAATAAAAGTTAATACCTTCCCTTATCGGGAAGCTAAAAAGTGAGGAAATTAAAAAGTGTGAATGGACTTGGGTTTTCGTGATCGACGCACCGAACAATTCTAAATAAAGCCAGGAATTCGGTATTAAAAGTTACATTAACACTCAAAAAGGGGTGATTAGTCGAGTTGTTTAATTTTTTGTTCTGCTTTGAATATTGCGGAGGAAATCGGAAAATGGTGTGAGACGTCAGGGCATAACAACAATAAAATATATAAAAAAACAATGAGTAAACAATGAGTTTTTTATTTAATATGAATCTAAGAGGTAAAAGAACCTCTAGTAATTGTCTCAAATCAGATAATTTTAGAGGTGAATTATAGTTGTTATTGAGGGGAAAATCTTCCCACTCTTGAGAATAAAAGTTTTTCACACAGTCAACATCAGAGTCTTGAAGATCGGTCACCTTTTTTTGGGACAAATCGATGTAGATGTTTAAGAAAGATATCTCTATCCACATACGGTAATGTATACATGTGATATTTTTATAAGGCAGAGTAAACCTGTAGGTTTAAATGTTTAAAAGAGAATTATAAGTCTGAGTAAATACTCACCAATTGTTAGAGGCGATTCAGATAAAACATCCAAAGGCGTAGGCATTATTTTCGAGAATGAAAAACGGAAAAAATTAGCTTGTGTTATGGATCGAAGTTGGATCGATAGGGAAACGTCATGCATTTCTGGAGACATTGAAATAGAAATTGAGAAATTACCTTCTTTGTTCCTACTCTTTTTCTTCCCATCTTTGTCCTGGAATAAACATGAAATTCATTGACAATTTTTCATTATTCGTTTTCTAACGGCTACAGTTGGTAATTCTTAGGAATGAAAATTATGCCACGTGCAGATATTGTAAAATTATTCGTAGAAGAGGAAACAGAGTCTCATGCAGAGGATTGTGCACCGCACTGTTAAGCAGATATGTGATATCAAGGGTGGAATTAGTACAGAGAATAGAATACTCGTCTTTAGTTTTAATGGACGTTAGGTAATCATCACTCTCTGGAGGTATTTGAGTTGCATGAGCCCATTCAGACTCGAAGCAGTGAATTATGGTGAAGTAAATCGATGTGTCTCAATGAGAAATACGTGGTTCGAAAGGATATTCTGAAAAAAATTATCTAAAAAAAGTGTAACATTTTTTATGATTTTGACTTTTGTCAAAAAGAAATTTCTGATACACTTCTTGGATATTTTTATCATACTACAGTTCCCCTGAAATTTTGAGGAATTTCCAATACGTTGAAGATCGATTATATAGATATGAAAACGAATAATTAGCGCAAAAAAAATTTTTTTTATTGTTCGTTTGCCCAAAAACGCTTAAAATGCTAAAAACAGTTCAGGGCCTCTAATTTTTGAGCTACAAAAGATTTTTTTTCTCAAAATTTTCGGAAAAACGTGTGGAACAACAATTACGAGCCATTTTTTTGGAATTCGACTCCTACACAGCTGATTTTGTTTTTTTTCATGTAAAAAAATTCACTATTTGTGTAAAAAAAATACAAAAAAAGCAAATTTAGCCATGTAAGAGACGAATTAAAAAAAACAGCTCGTAATTGTTATTCCACATATTTTTCCGAAAATTTTGAGAAAAAAAATCCTTCGTAGCTGAAAAACTGGAGGTGTTTTTGGCATTTCAAGCGTTTTCGGGCAAAAAAGCAATAAAAAAATTTTTTTTTGCACTAATTATTCGTTTTTAGATCTATATAATCGATCTTCAACGTATAAAAAGTCTCACTCCAATAACCCACGATTTTTAAAACTCACAGTAGTCTCCCCTTACACTATGAAATTCTGATTCCCAAAAAATCACCTTTCATAAGTTACACCGAGATTGGACAGTACGTGTTCCTCACTAAGACATGCCAAAATATAAGCCGAAGTCGAAACTAAACTAATTGACAAATAATTTACCAGTGGAATGAAAAAAGAATCGTATAAACATCGATGGAGAAGGTAGAAAGAACAAAAAATCTAATGAAAATTGGAAAGTGCAAACGTTCTGGGCACCTTTTTCACCTTTCCGCTGGACTCCTTGAGGCTCTGGGTGGGCGAGGGAGAATTTTTAACCGGGGTCTTCTGGGGACTCGTCGTTATTTTCGTGGGTGATGTTGTGTCACGCTCATTCGAGGGCGATTGAATAACCGTTACAATAGGTGGTGGAGACATTGAGGATGAGGTTGAGGGTAGGGGTTCAGGTGGAGTTAAAGCCTCTAATGGAGCTACACTCAAGGTTTTTGGTGGGGTTTGCTTTGGTGTTACGACTTTCGTACTCATTGATGGTAGCATTGTCCTAGTTTTAGGCTTCCGCCACCCCTGCATCAACATCAAATGACCATAAAAATTATTAATTCCGTGTTAAACAGCGAATTCACTGGCACGAAACTACGTGCGTGTTACGAGGGAAAGTATGTGCACCCAATCACCAAAAGAACTTTAGTCAGAAAAGAGTAATGAGTCATCAGTTGTCACCTCTATTTTTATCCAACATACCTTGTCATCGTAAAATCCCTGATCATCAGTTCTCTGTTGCCCCAGGAGTCTATCAGTCTCGAGATCAGTATCGGCCTCTTCCTCATCGACAACCTCCTCCACCTCAACCTCATTCTCATCCTCACCTCTTCGAGCCTCAGAGTCCTCACTATTACTCTCTGTGCACATCCTCCGCCTGCCATCCAACATACTAAAATTTAGTTAGATATTTGAGGATTGAATCTCGTAGTCAAGTGGAATAAGTGCAAAAGTAGATGTTCAATGGGTTAACACCGGAGAACTATCGATGGAACAAAGGTATTCTCAATGATTGAAACAGTGAAAAAGAGGAGAAATAAAAGTAACTTCATATCCCACTCAACGAGTCTCATAAAAAAGAAAATAAAAAAACCCATGATTTAAAATCATTACCTTGGAATCCAGATAGGCGAGACATTGGGCTCAGGTGGTTCCTCCGAGGGTGATTTAACCGGTAATGTCTTGGTCTTTTGCAGAGCCATTCTAATATCCTTGATGGCAGCCTCCACTTCGCCCCCAATTTCAAGGTTCATTGTCTGCCTGCCCTGTGGTGCCGGTGGTGGTGGTGTCCCTAATGGATCCAGACCGTCAAGATGGAGTTCATTCGTCTCGTAAGAATTTTCTTTCTGTGCTATAAATAAATCTGGTGACGTTGCTTTAAGTGTCTGAAGTATATCTTTCGTAACATTGAGACTACTGTCCTTTCCAGTCTCCATATCACCCCCCATAATATCATTTCTCGTTCTCTGAATAATTTCCTTCTCAATTTCATTGATCTGTCTCTTCATAAGCATAACAGTGGGATTATTATTATCAGTATCACTGGCATGTCCACTCGACAGGCCATCCTCGAGTACTGGCATACTGGTATATATTCTTAATGAATCCGAGTTGTTACCGAGATCACCAACAGAGCCCAGCAGACCACTCGCTGGTAATAATTCATTATCCATCATCATGAGGGACATTTCACTGTCTAAATCCCCACAATTGCTGTCGCAGTCTGTTGTCTCTGGGCTTAGGGTAAAATTGCGTGAATGGCCAACTTGAAGGCCAACTTCAGTTTCACCGAGGTCTCCACTGCTACCTGTACCCACTGAGAGGTCTAAAAAATTGTTCTCGTGCTCTGTTGTCTGAAAGGGAAAAACAATTCGCAATTATCCCGGTGCTTAAACTCGTCTCTTTGTGAAAGTTTCTCGACTAATGGAGGATAACTTACAGATTGTGGATAATCAGATCGCTGCTTCTTGGGTGATTCATGCACCATAACCTCCTCAGTACTCGGTAATCCACTGGCTAGACGTTGTCCAACATAAGAACTTCCCCCCTGTCGTCGAAGTTCATAGTCCAGATCCTTGAGAACAAAAGAGTAATAATGTAGTTTCGTAAAAATTTAACAACTCAACAACTCAATCAGTGAAGTTAAAGACTGGAATCCACCAACTCCAGGGATTCTAATTGAATTTACCTGGAAGGGGAATGTCTCTCCATTGTTTTCCTTCTCCTCGTTGGGTGGTGGGCACTTGAAGAATTCCTCCAGGACTTTACGTGTCTCCGAAAATTCGTAGAGATAATCGAATGTACTGCCACCAGGTGTTACGAGACTGGATAGATTGTCAGAGCTGAGAAATGATGGCTTGAGGAAGTCCTCCTCCTCCTCCTCCTCCTCTTCTGGCTCTGGTGTCTGCGATTGTGGCTCAGGTTGTGGTGTCTCTTCTACCGTTGGCGATACCACTAGAGTACTACTTATCTCATTCGGGGGACTCGAAGTTTCAACTAATATTTCAGTCGTGTCCTCTTTCGAATTTGAAAGATAATCAGTCTCCTTGTCCTTCTGATTTGGCGTTGTTGGTAATATTCTCTGGGGAAAGCCTGGCCTAGGTGTCATGTACATTGATGGAGATGATAATAAACTCGGTAATCGTGAATTTTCACGTACACCATAACGACGCGGACTACCGGAATACTGGGCTATCGGTAATTCACCAATTACTCTTGCAACTTTGTGATTACGCTCTGGTGATGGTGAATTTGCTTCACAGTCACTTGCTGGTGTTATTACCTGGCAAAGTGGGTGGATATATTAGAGAATATAACTGGAGTATAATGCAAGTGAGTTTCATTTTTGCATACATTAAGTTTAAAGGCTATGTTTTTGAATTTAAATGAGGGTGCTAACGAGTGTCGTATGCATTTGCTGGCAGCTGCAACAGTTATGTAAAGTCTAGAATCGTGCAGATGTTTACTGGTGTAAATAAAAGAGGAGTGAAGCCATTTTACATGAGAAGAATGAGAAGAGGGAAGAGTATCTCAGTAAATGGCCGGAAAACTTTGTGAAAATTTCAATATTTCTTGGGAGTGGAGAGACACAGAGAGTTTCCTAATTTTTCAAGCTGGGTAGAGAAATATTACTGGGTGTCTGCATTTTTCAGGGCTGCGGAGAGCTCACAAACTAGTCTCAACTTATTTTCGAGGAAAAAGAAAACTCTTTGAAGTTGCGAATGTCCTCGAGAGGATGGAGAACGATCTTGATCGTCTCTTACCTTAAAAAAGTCTGAAGTATTTCTAGGATAAGTTGATGTGGGACTTGGAGTGCTCCCAACACTGGATTCCAAGGGCTCCGACGGAATCCTCCGACCATCATCTTGCTCCGAATTCAAGCAGGTATTGTTAACCTGCTGGGTATTTGTCGTTCCCAAATCCAGTCTCAAGCCCTGCCAATTGTCGTCGATATCGTCGAATACAACGACCTCACCGTCACTGACAATGGCCATACTTCTGGCTGGTGTCGTATGATTCGACTGATAATCTACACAATTCTTGGGCAAGCCATAATCCAAATCGGTAATACTTTTCGGCACAGTGTACTCTACATTATTACTATTTAGAACCGAGTCATAGTTTATAATACGATTGCTTCGCGCAGCCTTTGGTGAATCATAATCGAGAATGGATTTTGTTGCGTTACGTCGTACTGAATGCACTTCGGATGAGAATACTGTCTCTGTTACTTCACGATTTGAACGTTGTCTTCGTGCCTCGCCACACCTTTAAATTAAAATTCATGGGATATTTATGGGTACGAGGAAATGTGAATATTAGATTAGATCGGGTACATTGAAGTTTATGCATTAAATTCGGGAAGTAACAGAGAATGCGATTTATTTAATGCGGTGCTCTCAGTGCACTTTCAACTCATGGTCTGATGGACACGGAGAATAATTTTATTTTTTAGGGATATATAGTAAATTCTACGAATTGATCCTTTATTTTTAGAAATGTATCTTTAATTTAGAGAGACTCTTGTCACTGAAATTCAGAGTAACAATTGCCATGATTTAGTATTATTTCATTGGACGTTAGTGACAAAATCACTTGGCTCTAGGATTTCTCACTCATTGAAATGTAGAATAGCGCAGATCCATAAAAACTTGTTTTCTCTGGGCAAGTGCTCTTCATACACTATTAATTTTTTCAATATTCGTACACTGTTAAATTGCAGGCGTATTTTCATTAGTTTTGAAAGGGGTCTTTTCATCTCTTACATCGCGCTCCGGAGAAATGGGAGAATTGAATGTAAAAATTCCATTAAACACATTCAATGAGTTGAATTGACTGTATTATATTTAATGCATTGAATGCGTGGCACTGCGTTTTTAATTATTTGACCGCAACATTTTCTGTTAATGAAAGAGATCTTTTCATGCTAAATTGTCACTGCAGACTGTTAGGAGAAAATTAAAATTCCATTTAATTTCATTCAGAGGGACAAACGTGGAATTTAACATTCCTTTGAAAAAATCAATGGAAAATCAACATAAATATCAATTTCCAAATTACGATGAATTTTCTGGATTTTTATCAACTTTTAATGAATAATCGAACTGTAGGAGAGGGTGGGGTAAAACGGACACTAGACTTTTTAAAAATTATTCATAACTCAGAAACAAATTGATCAATTGAGCTCAGTTCGGGCTCGTCACAAAGGGAAAAAATTGTTCTTTGTATTAAAAAAAAATTATTAAATTTTATCAACATTTCAACCCCTCATTAACATTTTAAAGAAAGTCAAAAGTGTCCGTTTTACCCCAACCTCCCCTAATAATAAGCCAAGACGACTTGAGAATGTTGGAGTGATTCTCATAATTTTATCTAAATTCCATTCTGCAAAAAAAACTCTCTGAAAATGGCTATTTTCCCAAATGCTTTCTCAAAATTGAAACATAAGATAATGGCAAAAGGCTCAGTAACCTAGTGTTAAATAAAGATTTAATTAAAATCCCCAATGTTTAAATAAAACTGTTGAAATGAGTTGAAAAAAAAAACATGGCCAAAACTGCCTCNCCCCCCCCCCTTTTCAACCTCCCCTAATTAAAAGTTGGCATTGATTTTTTCGTCCAATTGAGAATTTTCAATGACAAATCAATTTTCTGAAATTCCAAGCGAATTGTGATTTGATAAAAAATATGATAAACATTTTTAACAGTGACACTGCTATTGACATTACCTGCTTCTAAGTTCCCAAACACTCTGCCTGTTGGGTGATTTACTATTCTTCTTGACAGTCAACTTATTATCTGTCTGCGAATCATCATTAGGCACGGACTTTGATGAGGTCAAAAAACGAGGCTTCCTAGCAGCAACTTTACCTCTACTCTGGGAAAATACTTCCCTTCCACCAGCAATTTCGATGATCCTATTACCACAGAACAAAGTCGTTGATTATCTCATCACAGAAGTATCCGGTTGAAAGTATTATCCTGACACAACGGATATAGTATTCAAATGACTCGGTACGTTTGAGTTGGCATTCGTTTTTTTGTCAATCTCCTTTTTGCTTTGTTTTTAACCACTTGCCAACCACTTGTTAATGATCGTGATAAACGATAATTCCGGGACTAACCTTCAAAATATTGAGGTTTTCCAGCAAATACCACCAATTTTGGTGGTAAAACTCAATTTTTAAGTAATGTTTACGTTCAAAAAGGAGCGAAAATGACGTATTTTGGTTAAGATTAAATCACAGATTGTTGATATGGCTGCGCTCGCTCTTCATTCAGGCAGGACTAGAGAGAGAAAGGGGAAAATTCGAGTCTATTCAGCCGCTTGATTGCGCTGCAATCGACTTCCGTTTCAGTCTCACTTCACTCTCAATTTGAAATTTATGTATTTCTCGTATTCAACTCGAGAAAAAAAAATCCCTCTTGGAAACGAGGGGAAGATACCTTGAAATTATGGATCAGTTTTGCATGCAAGAATTGTTCTAACACGAGATTTATTCCTCATTTTTACCTCGCAGCGCTGTTTTGTGCACAGCTATTTGCACACATTTTTCTGTCAATTTCTCGCCTATTAAATAGTGGAATAACCACTGCCACTGGGCGAATATTTTGATAGATATGTATTAATTTATTTATTCTATCGAAAGACAAAGAATTCAATTGTTTCCATTTTCTGGCCGATTATTCCTTTTTAAAAATTTTCTGTTTCCAATTTCTGATTTTCGAAAAGAGTTTTTTGACTCGTGGGAGGTTTATAGCACGAGCCGAAGGCGAGTGATATAATCCCACGAGCCAAAAAACACTTTTCCCACGAGTATCGAACGATATTTTTTATCACAATGTGTGGAAAAGGAACGTTACTTTTTCGCACAGCGTGATGAAAATATATAAGAAGATTCATACAACAATATTCGAAGTAACTTAATCTACCCCTGAAGACGGAAAAGGCGGAAGAAATAAAATAAAATAATACAGTATAAACTAATCTAGTGAATCATTAACATGAGAAAATCTGCTGTCTATTTTACCCAACTCCTCTAGGAGATTAACAAAATTCAACAATTTTTCTCACCGAGAATCGCGTAGTTTGTAACTCCTGTCGCCCTTGGCCGACGTGAGAATGTAAACGGGCCCCTCTTCCGGTCCACTGTCATCATCCTGCTGTGACTGTCCCTGATGATCACTTCCCCCGATACTTCCATAATTCTGTGCATCCTCACTCCTACCAGACGCTGACGACGAGGAACTGGAAGACGTTTGCTTGGCAGACGTAACAGTTTGCTGATTGACCTGTAACTGCTGATTCTGACCCGTCTGACCCTCGAAACCGGGCATCACGCCAGCCGTCCTACGGGACAGCGAACCTGTTTTTTTCCTTCGACTCGTCGCTCGCTTTCTACACCTACGGACGCAACTTGGTATACTATACTAAAAGACTCAAAATAAACTGAGGAGTAGTTACAAATCAAATAAATAAATGAAAATTCATTCAATTGTAATTATTGCAAGGAGGTCCTCTCTTCGGAGAGTTAGATTTATCAAAGAAAGCAATTATATCAGTCTAGATGTCAACAGGATCTCCCTGCGGGTTGAAAATCTATGTATATTTTTCTTTAGCGAGGGTAACACCATGCAACAGGAGCTCCAAATGAAACCTCTTTTTCCTTCGTGTATATTTTCCTTCTCCACAGCAAAATGGGAACGAGGAAGCTAGGGCAGATGTGGATCGATGTTGGTGCTCCAATTTTCCAACAGAGGGTGGAGGAATTTGCGGAAATTAACGTGCGTCCATAAACACAAGCCTTGGATGAACGAAAGTAGAAAAACTCAAACTTTCAGAATCAACTGAGACAAATAATTGGAAAAAAAATAAGCACACATTTCTCTTGCCCAAGTTGCATCCTCCGATTACATCTGAATATTTTAGCATTTCAATTGTTCTGCAATCCTTCGTTCAATTAAACTCAATCATTCACTAGTGCTGGAGCAATGATTTTGTAACTTGCCTGTCGGTGGTGTCGTGCTCCAGATCTATCATGTCGTCAGCTGGAAATCCACCGCTAGCAGTGGTGATACTTGCTGGCGACGACGTGGAGGACGACAGCGTGCACGTATACGTTGCTGACTCCTGTTTCTGCACGTTATTACGACGTTCATGCGGCTGATGCTGATTCAACTGATGCTGCGTATCTGTTGTCCCCAACTGCTGGGGATTACCAGCTCTAGGCCGGCATTTTGGAAACAAACGATTCAAATCAGCGTTCTCCAATATCAGACTTGTCATCGCCAACTCGTTGACATTTTCTCTGACTCGGTTTCCATTATCTGGAAATTTTTTTTTCAACATTTTTTCAAGGATTTTACGGCATTCGCGAATAATTAGCGTCATTCTAACTGTATTTTCGCATAGAATTACTTTTTTAGTATCTTTTGAATGGATAAATAATGTTAATAATTTATTTTTAGTAAAACTTTCAATTAAATCATCTTGACGAGAGGAAAATAATTCCACTCTGAATAAAAAACATTGATTTTATCATGTGGGTGAAACTCTCTTCTCCAAATTTTGAGAGAGTCGTTAACGAAAAGCGTTAACTAGCTATTCAACTTTAGCTCAATCATCACTACCTATTGTCATAGATCCACTAGTTATAGAACTTTGTTATCTAGAGTTGGGAAATTTGGGAACGAATTATAGGGGTGGGAATCAATTCATCTGTTGATATAATCATCGGAGGGGATTGTTAAGCCTCGGATTTGCCGAAAACATGCCTGCATAACGGGATTGTCACCAGGTCGACTCATTCGTGTGGAAATTTTCACTTCTGGGTTACCTAAGCTCGAATCAAAGCCCTCGAACTCGGCTCACTCATTCCTGATGAAAAAAACATGTAGGGAACTCTTTCATTTACACTAATTGGAGGTAAGAAAAAGAGAAAAATATCGGGGTTTCCAATTTTCGGGAGAGCTTTAACAGCTCAAGTGTCCTGATAAACGTCTCGCCGATACTAACTCGATAAACTATCGGCGATACCGCCAATTATCCCATCAGGATTGACTCTAATTGCCATGAGCATAATCGAGAAAGTAATCAAGGAACCTCTCAGTTTCCCTCGGACTTTTGCCACGCGAAAACTTGGGTGAATGCTGGGGAAAGTCCGTGAATGTTTTTCCTCACTATCAGATACACGAGTTTAGACAATATGACGACAACTTGGTGGCAATATTCTCGCCGACAGTTCTCTCATTCCCCCCAACTTCGAGTTTCAAGCGTCTACTTTAAGGAAACTGGGAAGTTTCGGCGGAGCCAGGGCACTAGACTCCTTGAAGCCCTGTATTTCACGCGTCGAGACGTCAACACAGTCTCCACTTGGATTTGTGAAAATGAAATTAGTAATTGCTGGGGTTCTGGGGGAAACAGATGAGCCGTGAAACGAAAGCCATCGAGGGGTGAGAATTCTTGAATCGAGACTTGTTTCAAGAGCTTTTTGATCGTTGAGAGAAGTATAAAATTAGAATTCTGTGAATAATTGTTATCAATATAATAAACTTGATTGTTATTAATGGGCCCGATTATTAATCTGCAGATAAAACAGAAATGTTGAATTATTTCTTTTACTCGCGAGTAGTTTCGAAGAATCACGTATATGAAAAAAGCGTATAGAAATTTTCTATACGGATTGCGTATAGAAATTCTATAGGATTTCCGTATACGATATTCGGATATTTCTTTACCAATATTTTCTATACGAGTTATTTCTATACATAGATTATTACATAAATTTTTGTTTTTATACGAAAGATGTCTAAACACTCCAGAGGAAAACGTAGAGAAATGTCGCAACTCCATACGAAATGTTTCTATACATGTGCCAGTGGGTCGTACAGGATCAAACCTATCGTATATACCTTTTCATCACGCTGTGACGAAAAGTGAACTTTTCGGCACGCTCCGCGTGCCTAAAAGTCCACTTTCCGGCACATTGTGATGAAAAATATTGTTCGTAACTCGTGAAAAAATGTTTTTTGGCTCGTACGAAATATACTATTTCGTAACGAGTGCAAAAAAGTGTTTTTTTGGCGAGTGGGAGGTTTATATCACGAGCCGAAGGCGAGTGATATAATCCCACGAGCTAAAAAACATTTTTTCACGAGTTACGAACAATATTTTTCATCACAATGTGCCGAAAAGTTCACTTTTCGTCACAGCGTTCTGAAATATACTAATACCTAATCCTATACCTAAATCGTATAGAAATAATTTGTATAAAAAATATCCGTATAGATATATCCGAATATCATATACGAAAATCTTATAGAAATTCTATACGCAATCCATATGCAAAATTTCTATACGATTTTTTCATACGTGATTGAGCGATAAAAAAGCTTGAAAAATGGGGTTTAAGTCTCAGGAAGCAAGAAAAATAACGTCTCAAGTCTCGTGTGATCCAAAAAATTCCGGCATTCACATTTTCTCGCACTCAACTCAAATTTCGTTGATAAAAAATTAGAATGAGAGAGGATCGGAGGATTCCACTGATGCTGATTGACATTTGAGTGGATTTCGCCCAAGGGACACGCGATTGCATCACCGAACCACTCTGGGATTGCTGGTGTGTCAACCCATTCCCGACGTACCGGCGATTTTCAAATTGAATGATTGCCCCGGCCACTGGCAAATCTACACCCAAATGTTCTTTTTTTCCCCTCCATTCTTTTATATTGATCATTAGCTCGTAATGAGTCCGCTGAAATGCGAACCGGCAGTTGTCTCCCATTTCCATTCAACATTATCAGAATGCAAGCAGTGAATTAATGATGAGCATTGGGAATCGAAGTCCGTCAGGCTCCCATTTGGGAAATCTTGTCGTTTTAACAGTGAGGAGCAATCGTTATGTGTAAAAGGGAAAAGGCAGTTGATCGATCTCTCGAGGAGTTCCTTAGGAGTCCAAGACTGAAAACCAAGTGGGGGCGTCAGGTGGCCAGCAAAACCACGCCATTTCGTCTGCAACCGAAGTTGATACACTCTCACACTGTCTCGGGGTATTCAATTTCCAATCTCATACATTCCATCTATCCTACCTCAGACGCATGAGCATTTCCTTCCCTCCGGATTGAGAACAAAGGGTATAACTTTAATCATAAACACGTGGAAAACAAAATTCCGAAATTCTGAACATTTCCAAACACGAATGAGAAAGACTTTACAAAGGAATGGGGCAAAACGAAGTTTTCAGTAGTAATAACACTAGTGCTTTAAAATTATCGGATATTTTCCGATAGCTTCGTTGCCTAGGAACGAGTGTGTCAAATTTTGCAGGTTTTATGCAAAATTTGACACAATCGTTCCTAGGCAGGGAAGCTTGATGAAAATATCCGATTAATTTTGAAGCACGAGCGGTATTTGACGGATTATTTTTCCACTCGGATTTCGGTCAAGCAGAGTGCAGCGAACAGCATCCGGATACATTTACACACCCATACATTTACAACCCACTTTTTTGTTTATCTGTCACACAGAATATTAAACATGAAATGCGTTGAAAGATGAGAAACATTTGAAAAGCTACCGGTGAATTTCCGTCGGAAATTTTTTAGAAATTTCCGAAATAAAAATTTTGACAGCCTCAAATACTGCGCTCTGATTGGGTGAAATCCGACTGAGAAAAATAATCAGCAGAAAATCATTCTCACAATTTGGAAAAATCTTGAATGATGCGCCAACGAATAGGTCCCGTTACCCCGGCAAATAAACCCACTCAAGTCAGCTAAATGCCAATTTTTATCGTCCGAAGGACATCCCCACAAAGGCTGAAGCCGGTGTGAGCAAAAGACCGTTATAAAAGAGAATGAAAAAAGAATGCATTGGGGGTTGGCCAGGCGGCACGCCAACGTGGTGTGGTTGGTGATAGGGCGGTGGGTGGTGGGTACAGTAGGTTGATAACGCAGGGGTGGCTTTATACGTAGAGAGAAACGGAATCAATAGGGGGTCACTGGCATCAACAGATACAATCGGCACATTTCGAGTGGCGCACGAGGGCCTCAAGTGCCCCCCTTCTCTCTGTACCCACTCCACTTATCCAGAAACACACGAAGGACGCATATTCAATTGTACTCGAGTGGACTTGGTTGCCTTCCCTAGCCCACTCGACAATACCCTCTCCTCGATTTCTCCATTTTTTTTTCTCCTCTGATTTTCTCACCTCCCGCGATCCTTAAAGGCCGCAGTTGCGAAGCTCTCGGTGGGCAAAAGGACTGGCGCCGGCGCGAAAAACCAACTCGTTAATTTCTCACCCACTTGAGTCGAGCAGTTTTCCACTCACGTGTTTTTTCAACAAATTTTTTTGGCCCTTTTTCATGCCTTTGTGTTCCCTGCGTGTTGACCGAGTAAATGCTTTCTAGCAGC